TGTTCTTAGAGGATGAAGACATTAGTGGGAGTATGAATCTCAAAAATGTTTCTTTGGAGGACAATCGGGCTTTTATGCCTTCCACGATTGTTCAAGAAAATAAAGCACCTGAACCTATTGGTACTCAAGAGATTTCTCACATTGAAAAAGAAGTTGTCCCAGTATCAGAACAACCTTTACGCAGATCACAAAGATGAAAGAAACCAGTCATATTAGATGACTATGAGGTTTACCTAAATGAGTGTGATATAGGCTTGGAGAACGATCCTGTTTCTTATGCCTAGTTAAATGCCATGAAAGATGAATTAAAATCTATGAAAGACAACAATGTCTGGGATCTTGTAAAATTGCCTAAGGGAGCCAAAACTGTTGGATGCAAATGGATTTTTAAAATCAAGCGTGATCCTAAAGGCAATACCGAAGGATACAAGGCCAGATTAGTTGCTAAAGGATACACTCAAAGAAAAGGGATGGATTGTAGGCTTGAGAAGTCCATATATGGTCTAAAGCAGGCATCTCAACAATGGTATCTTAAATTTCATGAAGTTCTCACCAAATTTGATTTTAAGGATAATGTGGCTGATCAATGTGTCAACCTTAAAATCAGTGGGAGCAATATTTGCATTATAGTTTTGTGTGTTGTTGATATATTGCTTGCTAGCAATAATCTGGAAATGATACATGAGACAAAGCAATTCCTTACGAGGAATTTTGAAATGAAAGATCTTGGTGAAACCTCTTTTGCCATTGGGATAGAAATTCACCGAGATAGGTCTTGTGGTATTTTAGGATTGTCCCAAAGAGCCTATATCGAAAAGGTTCTTAAAAGGTTCAACATGCAGAACTGTTCAAGTATTGTTGCCCCTGTAGTTAAGGGTGATAATTTTAGTGAATTTCAATGTCCCAGAAATAATTTAGAAAGGGAACAAATGAAAGAAATTGCTTATGCCTCTACAGTTAGGAGCATTATGTATGCTCAAGTTTGTACACGTCTTGATATAGCATTTGTAGTTGGTATGCTTGGTCGATACCAAAGCAATCCTGGACTTGATCATTGGAAAGCAGTAAAGAAAGTGTTGCGATATTTACAAGGCACTAAGGATTACATGCTTACTTATCAAAGAGCAGACAACCTTGAAGTAATTGGTTATTTAGATGCTGATTATGCTGGATGTAAAGACACTCGAAAGTGCACTTCTGGGTACATTTTTATGCTTGCTAATTGACCCATTTCATGGAAGAGTCATAAGCAGTCTATGACAGCCTCTTCCACTATGGAGGCAGAGTTCATAGCATGTTATGAAGCCACATGTCATGCAGTATGGCTAAAGAATTTCATATCTAGATTACAACTTGTCGATTCAATTTCGAGGCCCTTACAGATTAACTGTGATAATGATGTTGTTGTTCGGTTCTCCAATAATAACAAAACTTCAGGAGGATTAAAGCATATTGATATATACATAATGTATAGAAGACTAATGGAGATCGTGCCAATGCATTGAATGTGATAGATTCATTATGAATGAATCTTAGAGATGCATTATGTATCTATTATGTATCTATTTGAATGTAGAAGATACATTAATCTATCTAATGAGGTTCATTGAATGAATGGATTCTTTGATGGGAAGATTACTAGTATAAATAGTGTAAGGTCCCAAAACACACTCTCTAACACAAAAAATCAAGTTGTCACCACAAGAAGGCTCCCATCGCCTAGAGAGAGAGAAGTGGTTTGAAGATCTTAGACAAATAAAGAACTTGGAGATCAAGGTCTTCTATTCAAGGTTTCTCTTTCTTAAAAGAGGTTTTCATACTATCATGGATCAAGGTACATATAAACTTATTTTGTATAGTAGAAATTCATGTAGTTTTCATGTATAGAATTGAATCCTTAACGGCTTTTAGTTTATGTTCCGCAAAAGCCTAAAATCGGCATGCCTATCCAATATAAACCACTAAAATTGGTTAGGAAATAGACCCAACAACATATGTTAGGTTATTTAACACTCCCCATCACATGCAACCCTATCTCGCATGTAGAGAGGCAAACAAAAAAGTTGAACAGAGTCCATAAATACACACAAAGTACAAAATAATAAGAGAAATTACATAAATATCCCCATGGTTTCAACCCATTAACAAATTACACCCTGCGTTTTATTTTTTCAGTTAAACTCTGTATTTTTAATTGATATAGTTTCAATCCAAACTAACAGAGAATGGATAATTTAATCCTTTTACCAATCTCCTTTTGGATAATTTTTCAATTTAATCCTAGTTCCGGTGAGTGGCATTGTTGTTGTCATAACTTGGGGCAAAAAAGGAAAGAAGGAGAGTGACATAACAAAAAAAAAGAGGAAGAAAAATAGAAATTATGAGAATGAATTAAAAATATTAACCTTTCTCTTTAATTCTAATTAACAGAAATGGGCAAATGGTTTGAATTGACATCGCACTGAAAGATCAAGGTTTAATTTGACAAAAAATTAGAATAAGAGGGTTTAATTCATTGCAAAGGTCAAACCTTGATGTTTATTTTGTAATTTCCCCTAACAAATATAATGGGCAAACAAGAGTATACCATAAGACTTGAACCCCAAAATTTTTTGGAACCAACTACATAAATCTTTAGAACACTTGGTGATCTAACACAACAAATGTAAAGATGATAATCATTTAATATGTGTATAAATTCCAAAGCATTGGCGCGACCCTAACCTAGAAAGGCATATACATACATTATTATAATCAAGAACAATCTTACAAATGTATACACAGATTTATCTGCTAAGAAATTAATTATAGAACTAATATTTGCCAAGGAAACAATATTTGTAATTTGACTTGAATGGCACTCAAAATTCTCAAATTGCAAGCAGACATCTGAAATATCAATTTTATAGTTCATCCATTAAATCAAACTGTTTAACTTTATGCTTATCCAACCAGTTGTCATGGGAAAAGAAAATCAAAGGAAAAAATGTAATCAACTTAACATATACATTTTTTTAATGGTTATTTATTTATTTATTTGACAAATACTACTCATTTTCTTTTCTTAATTCAAGCAAAAAAAAAATAGAGAATTTAGTATCCTTCAATTTATTTTCATATCTTATCTTTTTCCTTTTCCTTAACAATTTTGAAATCCAAACATAGGATACTTACAATTTCATTTTATTTTTCTAGGTGTACTTACAAATTTGATCGGGACGATATACTAATATAAACAGGGGAAAAAATGTATTTGATCATGAGAGAGAGAGAGAGAGAGAGAGAGAGAACCTAGAAAGCAAGAGGGCTCCTTTACTTTTTCGTCTTCGAAGTAGCTCGGATCAGCAAAGTTGGAGATGCTTCACATTAGTCAACTGGAGTCGCTGATAGACGTAGAAGGGAAACACTAACCATGGTCAATTTAACCATGATTAATATTATTCATATGGACAACATTTTCCTCCAACATATTAGGTTAGAGATCCTACAACCCTACGTGTTAGTTCATAATTGGCTAAAAAAGTTACACAATTCAAAATTTAAGGGTTGTTTGAGATGTGCTAAATAAGTACACTTCTTGACTTTTTGGATTAAAAAGTTGAGGAAAAAAATATGGTTATTTGGGATGATTTTTTGACTTTTTACGAAAAAATGTGTATTAAAAAATTGTATAAATTAGTGTATAGGAGAAGCTTTTTGGCGAGTAGAAAGTACGGTGGGCAGCATGGTGTAGAGTAGTGTATAGGAGATGCTTGCCTCATTTTCGGTCATTGAATTGAAGAGTGTGGTTCAGCCTGTGGGGCCCCACCATTGGTTCTGTTTTGCTAATCGGAACCGTTCAATGTGTAAAACTCGTCGAGTACTATATGCTTGTAAAAAATCATGTTAATCGGATATCGATAACTATCTGATCGGATTAGTTTTTTGTCAACCGTTAACTATAACACCATCCATTTTTTTATACAAAGCTGATTTAATCATGTAGTTAGCGATTTTCTGATCAACGTGATTTTTTTAAACATATAGTACTCGACGAGTTCTACACATTAAACGGTTCATATTATCAAAACGGGATCCGCGATGGGCCTCCACAGGCCGAACAACACCATCTTGTTTGTGCACCCACCTGTTCCCTTTGTCCAACCAAAGTCAGCTAAAGTACAACTCACGTGAGAAGTGACTTGTACTTTTTTTTTGTGTAAAACTAATTTTTTTTTTTTTTTGTGAATAGTGATAACTTTTTAACCTTTTTAGTAACTTTTGGACTTTTTGATTTTTTTGAAGGATGCCAAACCAACCCACTATTTCCCCAGTTTCACATCAATTTTCTTTTTTTATGATATATGTTAATTCTAATTTTAGGAAACATGTATTACGAACTGTTGCTTTTATAAAGCAAGTTATTCGTTGATCTTGGGACGCAGTCACATGATGTTTTAGGTGTCTTATAATTGATAGAACGGTATAATTAATAATTTTATGTTAGATGATTAGGAAACATAAGGAGTATTGTAAGAATTTTTCCTAAATATGACTTAATGTGACTTATACATGATTATACTAGATTCATCTCATTAAGCAAAATACATATACATTAATTAGATGGTGACTAATTATTGATAAATGCACCTATATATACATAATGTATAGAAGACTAATAGAGATAGTGCCAATACATTGAATGTGATAAATTTATTATAAATGAATCTTAGAGATACATTATATATCTATTATGTATCTATTTGAATGTAGAAGATACATTAATTTATCTAATGAGGTTCATTGAATAAATGGATTCTTTGTTGGGAAGATTACTAGTATAAATAGTGTAAGGTCCCAAACCACATTCTCTAACACAAAAACTCAAGTTGTCACGACAAGAAGGCTCACATCGCCTAGAGAGAGAGAAGTGGCTTGAAGATCTTAGACAAATAAAGAACTTGAAGATCAAGGTCTTTTTTTCAAGGTTTCTCTTTCTTAAAAGAGGTTTTCATACTATCATGGATGAAGGTACGTATACACTTATTTTGTATAGTAGAAATTCATATAGTTTTCATATATAAAATTGAATCCTTAACAGCTTTTAGTTTATATTTCACAATGTTTTCTATCAATTGATATCAGAGCTTTGGTTCTTAATTCTGATGCATGAAACGTATAAGTATGAATTTCATTTTATGATAATGTTTTGTGTAACTAGTGCATAGCCTTGATTTACACTTGTCCAATTTTATCTTTGTTTTTTGTCAATATTTTATTCTATTGATATTAAAATATAAAATTGTAAATTATTAAACAAGTAGTAATTAAGATAATGACTTATGCACTTATAATGTTTTGTTGCACACCTTATGAGTTGAAACATTGTTGATTAGCCTAACGGAGGTTTAACACTATGTATGTTTAAACAACTGAGATGATTAGTATAATAAATATAGCAATAAGTTTTTCTGTCAAACGGTGATAAACTTCTCACGTGCTTTAGTTAATAAAATATATAAGACATTGAGATTTTCTGCCTAACGGTGATAAACTCGTTGCAGTCTTAATGATTATTTTATTTTATTAGTCATCTCATTTACTTTTATGAAATTGCTAAAATATATTGTTATTCGGCCCAACGGAAGGATAACTTGATTTTGTATCTAACTAATTATGTTTTCTAGTTAGATATATTGAACTTTTGGTGTTATTTTTATTCATGACGTGCGAAAAGTAATTTACTTGATTATATTAAGTTATGTAATGGATATTATGTGTTTGCAGTATTGAATCCTACTGCAATTAATAATTACTTGTCTAGTATTGAAGCTTTGAGTGGAACTAATTTTAAGAAATGGAATGAACAAATTGGAATTGTTTTGAGAATTATGGATTTAGACTATGCATTAAGAGAGCCAGCACCTACAAAGCCTAATGATACAAGTTCTAAGGAACACATGGCTTTATATGAAAAATGGAAACGCTCTAATCGTTTAAGTCTAATGATTATAAAAGGCTCAATTATGCCTGCAATTCAAGGAGCAATCCCTGCTTCTGAAAGTGCAATGAGTGACATGAAATCTATTGAAGAACAATTCATTGGAACTTCCAAATCCCTTGCTAGCACTCTTATGATTAAAATGATGACAATGAAATATGATGGTTTGAGTGGTGTTTGTGAACTTATCTTGAAGATGAATGGCATGGCCTTTCAATTAAAGGGAATGGACATGGAAATTTCTGAAGGTTTTCTTGTTCATTTCATTATGACTTCTCTTCATGCGCAATTTGGTCCTTTCAAGATCAATTATAATATGCAGAAAGATAAGTGGAAGATGAGTGAGTTAATTGCCATGTGTGTTCAAGAAGAAGAGAGGCTTAAAGCTGAAAAGCCTAATATGGCTCACCTTATCACCTTGGGTCCAACCAAAAAGATTTTCAAGAAAAGCAAAAGTAAGAAGAAGAAGAAGAATGTAAATGATGAAACTCACAAGGCTAATGAAAAAAATAAGATTCGATGCCATTTTTGCCGAAAGAAATGTCACATAAGAAAAGACTATCTAGGTTTTAAAGGTTGGTTAGACAAGAAAGGTAACACTCAATGCTTTGTGTCTTATGAATCTTTTTTGGTAGATGTTCCACCAAATTCTTGGTGGATTGACACTAGTGCAAGTATTCACATAACAAATTCCATGCAAGGATACCTTACAAGTCGGAAACCAAATAAAGGAGAATGAACCATTACGGTTAGGAATGGAATAAAAGTAGATGCTGAGGCTATTAGCACCCTCCGTATAATTTTAGACTCTGGTTTCATTTTAGATTTAGTAAACACAATTTATGTTCCTATTTTTACTAGAAACCTAATTTTTGTTTCATAACTTGATTCTTGTGGTTATGAATTTAAGTTTGGAAATAATAGAATCTTTTTATTCCACAGTTCTCATATGATTGGTTCTGGTAATTTATATGGTAATCTTTATTCATTGAATTTAGATTCCACTTATGCACAATCTCTTTTATCCTTTTATGTAAACAACTTGGTAAATAAAAAGAGAAAGCGAGTGAATAAAAATTCATCCATGTTGTGGCATAAGCGCTTGGGCCATGTATCAAGAGAAATGATGGAACGTCTTATTAAAGACTGAATTTTTAGTTCAATTCATTTTTTTGATTTTAGAACTTGTGTGAATTGCATTAAAGTAAAATACACAAAGACAAAGAATATGATGCTACTAGGACTACTTAATTATTAGACACAATTCATATTGATATATGTAGTCCCTTTACTATTCCAACTATTTCTGGACATAAATATTTTTATTACTTTTATTGATAACTTTTCTAGGTATACTTATGTGTATCTTATTCGTGAAAAATCAGAAGCACTAGATATGTTCAAACTCTATAAAGCTGAAGTTGAAAATCAACTTGGCAGAAGGATTAAAAGTGTAAGATCTGATAGAGGCGGTGAATATTATGGTAGATTCACTTAGTTGGGTCAAAATCCAAGTGACTTTACTTTATTTTTAGCTGAGAATGGTATTGTTGCTAACTACACAATGCCCGGTACACCTGAGCAAAATGGTGTAGCTAAGTGATGAAACCGTACTCTTTTGGACATGATGAGAAGCATGATGAGTAACTCTTCTTTGCCAGATTACTTGTGGGGTGAAGCTTTAAAAACTGTTGTACATGTTCATAATAGGGTTCTTAGTAAGGCTGTGCCTATAACTCCTTATGAGTTGTGGGTTGGTAGGAAACCTAATTTGAATTATTTGCATGTATGGGGTTGTCCTGTTGAAGCAAAAATTTTTAACCCACAAATAAAGAAATTAGACCCTAGAACTATAAGTTGTTATTTCATTGGATATCCTGAGAGATCAAAGTGTTTTAGATTCTATTGTCCCACTCATAGCACAAGAATTGTTGAAACTAGAAATGCTGTGTTCTTAGAGGGTGAAGACATTAGTGGGAGTATGAATCTCAAAAATGTTTATTTGGAGGAAAATCGGGCTTTTACGCCTTCCACGATTGTCCAAGAAAATGAAGCACCTGAACCTATTGGTACTCAAGAGATTTCTCACATTGAAAAAGAAGTTGTCCCAGTAGCAGAACAACCTTTACGCAGATCACAAAGACGAAAGAAACCAGCCATATTAGATGACTATGAGGTTTACCTAAATGAGTGTGATATAGGCTTGGAGAACGATCCTGTTTCTTATGCCTGGTTAAATGCCATGAAAGATGAATTAAAATCTATGAAAGACAACAATGTCTGGGATCTTGTAGAATTGCCTAAGGGAGCCAAAACTGTTGGATGCAAATGGATTTTTAAAACCAAGCGTGATCCTAAAGGCAATATTGAAAGATACAAGGCCAGATTAGTTGCTAAAGGATACACTCAAAGAAAAGGGATAGATTGTAGGCTTGAGAAGTCCATATATGGTCTAAAGCAAGCATCTCAACAATGGTATCTTAAATTTCATGAAGTTCTCACCAAATTTGATTTTAAGGATCATGTGGTTGATCAATGTGTCAACCTTAAAATCAGTGGGAGCAATATTTGCATTATAGTTTTGTATGTTGTTGATATATTGCTTGCTAGCAATAATCTAGAAATGATACATGAGACAAAGCAATTCCATACGAGGAATTTTAAAATGAAAGATCTTAGTGAAACCTTTTTTGTCATTGGGATAGAAATTCACCGAGATAGGTCTCGTGGCATTTTAGGATTGTCCCAAAGAGCCTATATCGAAAAGGTTCTTAAAAGGTTCAACATGCAGAACTGTTCAAATATTGTTGCCCTTATAGTTAAGGGTGATAATTTTAGTGAATTTCAGTATCCCAGAAATAATTTAGAAAGGGAACAAATGAAAGAAATTGCTTATGCCTCTGCAGTTAGAAGCATTATGTATGCTCAAGTTTGTACACGTCTTGATATAGCATTTGTAGTTGGTATGCTAGGTCGATACCAAAGCAATCCTGGACTTGATCATTGGAAAGCAGTAAAGAAAGTGTTGCGATATTTACAAGGCACTAAAGATTACATGCTTACTTATCAAAGAGCAGACAACCTTGAAGTAATTGGTTATTCAGATGCTGATTATGCTGGATGTAAAGGCACTCGAAAGTGCACTTTTGGGTACATTTTTATGCTTGCTAATGGACCCATTTCATGGAAGAGTCATAAGCAGTCTATGACAACTTCTTTCACTATGGAGGCAGAGTTCATAGCATGTTATGAAGCCACATGTCATGCAGTATGGCTAAAGAATTTCATATCTAGATTACAACTTGTCGATTCAATTTCGAGGCAATTACAGATTAACTGTGATAATGATGTTGCTGTTCGATTCTCTAATAATAACAAAACTTCAGGAGGATCAAACCATATTGATATCAAGTATCTAGTTTTTAAAGAAAGGGTTCTGAATCACACTATTTTCATCTCTCATATTGGCATTACACTCATGTTAGAAGATCCTTTAACTAAAGGCCTCACACCTAAGCTCTTTCAAGAACATATTGCGCGCATGGGCTTAGTAGAAAGTTTATCATGTTTAGACTTGAAATGAGTGTATTATGTTTATGATAAATGTTATGTTATAATCATCTTATGTTAATAATGATTATGTTTGTAGTTTTCATTCTTCATACTTGTGCACAATTTAGAAGAAGATATAAAGAACATGACCGTTATAGATGAATTAGCATTAATCACCATTATGTTACTACTGTCATCTCTGTGATTTAAGATTCACTTATTCATGTTGATGGAAAATATTATAACCATTGTACAGTTTTGATCAATGTGTAAATCACTGACTACAATGATTTGGTGCTAATAATTTCATTGAACAGAATCTAATGGTGATGGTGCAATCTTCTAGTGGGAGAACGTTGGCCATATTACGATAATCTAGTGACGTAATATAATCATGCAAACCAAGTGGGAGATTGTAAGAATTTTTCCTAAATATGGCTTAATGTGGCTTATACATGATTATACTAGATTCATCTCATTAAGCAAGATACATGTAAATTAATTAGATGGTGACTAATTATTGATGAATGCACCTATATATACATAATGTATAGAAGACTAATGGAGATAGTGCCAATGCATTGAATGTGATAGATTCATTATGAATGAATCTTAGAGGTGCAGTATGTATCTATTATGTATCTATTTGAATGTAGAAGATACATTAATCTATCTAATGAGGTTCATTGAATGAATGGATTCTTTGATGGGAAAATTACTAGTATAAATAATGTAAGGTCCCAAACCACACTCTCTAACACAAAAAATCAAGTTGTCACCACAAGAAGGCTCCCATTACCTAGGGAGAGAGAAGTGGTTTGAAGATCTTAGACAAATAAAGAACTTGGAGATCAAGGTCTTCTATTCAAGGTTTCTCTTTCTTAAAAGAGGTTTTCATACTATCATGGATCAAGGTACATATAAACTTATTTTGTATAGTAGAAATTCATATAGTTTTCATGTATAGAATTGAATCCTTAACGGCTTTTAGTTTATGTTCCGCAAAGTTTTCTATCAGTATATAGGTTTGTGATTAGTTAGAGATTCTAGATCAACCAATAATTTTTTCTTTTATCGTGCAAAAGTCAAAAATGTAATTATGAGATGTCAACAATGATTAAAAAAGTGACATTTATACATAAATGTCTCTTAACTTACTTATATTCTACTTAGAATAAATTATTTCTTATGTTCTAATAAATCTTATGCATGACATAATTATCAAAATACCTGTAATAATAATAATATTCACATTAACAGTGTAAATGTTTTATGATGTGAACATTCATCCTGTAAAATATGAATGTTCACATCACCAAATTGCTAAGCGTTAAAAAATATTTGTAAAGATAAATTGTCAATAAAAAATCTTAACTATGAAAATTAGGATTTGATGAATTAAATATGAAAATAATATAATTTATTGAAATATAAGCACATGTTATGAATTAATTAGAATTTAAGGACTTGAAAAATGATTTCCTAATACTAATTAATTTAATGTAAAAGAAAAATACACAATTCAAAATCTATTCCTTGTACAATTCCATATCAAAAAAAAAAAAAATTGGGGACAATATATGTTAATTCAAATTTTTGGAAATATGTATTATGAAGGGATTGGATTGTTTCTAGTTGGGCAACCTAACTAGACCGTACAGTCTGGCCCATTTCGAGTATCTTGATAATTCTAAATTATGATCTGATTAAGTAGCTATCGATATTCGATCAACGTGATTTTTTGTAGGAATGAATTACTCGACAAATTCTACATATTGAACGGTTAGAATTATCGATTTGGGCTCCGTGATGGACCCACGGAGGCTCAACAATACAGTCCAGTCCAATTAGGACTAGAGACCGGCCTAAGCCTATTATGAATTGTTGGTGGAAGCTATGGCAATTAGGGAGGCTATGTGTTTGGGGGTAAAGATGGGCTACCAATCCATTTTAGTAGAAGGTGACTTGCAATCAGTAATTAATGGATTGAATGGAAGGGAAGATGGGGATTGTAGAGTGGATATATTTCTGGAGGATGAGTATAAGAAATTGTTTAGGTTGTGCGAGTTTGGTTTTGTTCGCCAAGGTTGCAATGCAGTAGTGCATGCACTGGCGCGTTTTGGAGTTGTAGGGGTTGATTCTCACACCTGGGAAGGCTTTGCTCCTACCTGGCTTCCAGAACCCTTGAGAGGTGATGTCTACTCAGTTTTGTTTCTATTTGCTGCTATACTTTTGTTATCTTTGTGGGGAGAGAGGAATTGTTGGTTTTTTGACAATTTGAAAATCAAAAATATAATTGAGAGGTGTCGGTAAAGATTGAAAAATTCTTATAGATTAATTTGAAGTAGAAAAAACAAAAAGTTTACACACGTCAAAATTTACTCCTTGCACAATTCCACATTGTTTTCCTTTTCTTTTTTTTTTTGGACAATATATGCTAATTCAAATTTTAGAAAATAAGTATTAAGAATCGTTGACTTTTTTGATAGTTCTGTTAGGATTTTAATCCTAATGAATTTAATGAGTTGTGTTTTGGCAATACCTCTATTGACAAAACTTATTTCTAATTATTGATTCTAGTTATTTTGATTTTTATATTTCAGAACATTTTTTTTTCTTCTTCTTGGTAAGACATGTTCTAGATGATTTGATCACCTTGTTTATTATGCCATTGTTTATTGATTTTGTCTTATCCACCTTGAACTAATTGAATTGGTGTTTGTGGAAAAGTTTGACACAAGCGTGCTCATAGATTTAAAAGATCAAACATGTGTTTCTTGTCTCATATTAGTAATTGATTGTGCAATATTTTTTTATATATTCAATCTAACTTTTTGTGGAAAGATGGTTGAAGGAGGAGGATATTCAGAAAACAACATTCCATAAGCAGTATGGCCATTACAAGTTCTTAGTGATGCCTTTTGGGTTGACCAATGCGTCGACTTC